TTTTTTTTTTGGAGAGGTGTTTGCTATTGGGCACGTGTGCTCGCCAGAAAGAGAAAAAACAGAGAGACAGAATGCAAGAAATCACTCCCCAGGGGGATGGCCACAGTGCAATCCCTCCTCCTCCATTCTCCTCTCGGGATCTTGGGCACACACACACATGCACCTAGAGTGAGTTTAAGCCACCGGGTCCGGGATTCAAACTGCGGTCAACTACATGGGAGTTCAGCAGCATAGCCATTTACGCTAACTGCTGGTTCCAAGATATCTTCTGATAGGAAAAAAGATTTAGTGTCCGTTTCTGGGGATACTTCTATATTTGGAAATACTTTGGCTCATATTTCAGGCTTAATTAGCAACTCTACTATAAATCTCCTTTGTATAAATCCAGCTATGCACAGCACAAATCCATAAGAAGTCAATATTTAACTAAAAATGTTATTAAAAATACCTTTACAAGGCTCTATTGTATTTTGGAAAAATAATAGTCTTGAGAATCCATGTCTTACCAAATGGGGAAGCAGGCAGGCATTCTTTTACCCAATAACCAAGGCTTTATGCATGGACACCTAGGTTGGCTGAACAAATTAGCTTATTAGCCTCACCATTTCGTGTTTGGGATTTTTGCAGTTTGTAGACATCAGCTTTAAAAAATGGACCCTCGACCCGGTTGGGTGATTAAGACAGCTGAATCTCACATGGCCAACTGCATGGTTCAAGTCAAGGACCCAGCACCTTGAGAAACATGTGGGTTTATGTATGTGTTCACCCAAAGTAGAAAAAGGAAGGAGAGAGGGAGAAGAGAAGAGATTGTGTTGTGACCATCCTCCATGGGGAGTGCTTTCTCACTTTGTCTCTATCTCTCTCTCTCTGTCTCTCTTGACAAACTCACATGCCCTCTGACAAAAATAAATAAATGGACCCCAGACATTGGATATTTTACAATCTTCTGCCTAGTGCTATATTGGAGAGATTAGCTAATACTGTGATAATAATATTTACTTTCAGAGTAGAAGTGTGTGAACACAGAAAATATGATTATGGTTTCAGAATAGCTTCTGCTTTGCAGCTATTGGTTATAGACAGAAAGGGAGTACAGAATTTGTATCAAATATAAGCAAAATTTTTATCAAAACATCTGAGAAGGATTTTATTTATTTTAGTCCCTGATTAGAAAGGAGAGAAGAGATATAATTCTATAAAATCTTGAAGAGAGAGATACCGGAGAAACAGCATGAAATAAAATACTGTTGTGCTAATCTACTCTAGTGCTAGGCACGTAAGATTTCTAGCCACTGTCGAGAGTCTTTCCCCTATTTCTCTATTTCCCTCTTTTCACTCTAAGTACAGTGGTTTCTTGTGTTTGATTTTAATGCTATCAACCCACAACTAGCATTAATGGTGCTTTATGTTAGCACTTCTATGAAAGCATAAAATGTAAACCCTTGAGCAATATGACAAGAATACCATTTGTGACTATAGAGGAAATAGATAAGCAAAACAAAATTGGACATCTAAGTACTAGAGACAATAAGTAGTAAATTTGTTCACATATGCTTTGGAAAGACTTGAGTTTAGAAATAAATGTTTCAGGGATCAAACTATGATTGTGTCTCTTTTTTATTAAAATCCATTAAAATTAAAAATAACAATTAGCATGTAAAAATATAAAAAGAATGGCATCATTTCCTCATAGATTTTTTTAAGAATTATTTTATTTACCTTTATTTATTTATTTATTTTAATTTTTCCAGAAATGGACAGAGAGAGAGAGAAAGAGAAAGAAAACTACCAGGTCTGAGACTTGAATCACTGTTGGCCATGTGGGAGTCCAGAGCCCCTAACCACCATGCCACCTGCTGACTTCTCCATCTTTTTTTTTAATATATAAAATTATACATGTGCTAATATTGAATGATAGAAAAATATGGCTAAATTCAGGAAATCAATTTATAATACATTGGCTCCTTAACTACGATTTGGATTATTATTTTCAAAATTCCTAGCTAGTATGTTTAAAATGTTTCCAGTCCTGGTTTAAATAACTCAGAAAACAAAGATTCAATATGACTGTCAAAGACAACTCTGAATGTTAATGTTTCCATTTTCAGCCTCCTGGCAGAAAGTTTTATTAATCAGTATAAGCTCTGGACTGTCAAATGTGTGATAGACAGTGTAGACACCACACACAAAATAGATGCAGAGTCATTTTACCTTAATTTGCTTCACTTGAAAATCTAACATAAAAATCTAGAAGGGAAGTAAAAAGAAGTGATTTTACAGTGTTTTAAAATGCTGTGGCTTGAAAAATAGAAGTTATAGGATAAAAATGCTCATACATTTAATGTTTTGATTCAGCCAATGAAATAAGTTCCCCTACTCCTGCATGGAGTTTGAATAACTTAGAGCTAGACTTGTAAGTGCCAAGCCTCCTTGTTTTGCCAATAGGGACAGCAGGTTTGCCAAAAAGCAACAGGTCATGTCTCAAAACTCCTTCTCCATTCTTCTGTTACTTAACAAAATGTTCTAAGCAGCAAACTAATTGGCTAGAATTGTGGATACCTATTCAGAGAAATCAGTAATAATGTAGCAGAGTGAAGTCTTGGGGAATCTGGGGTACCAGGCAGAGTGTCTCAGTTATAGAGCAATTTCCTTTGTTTACTCCTCCTCTATCTATTTTGTTTATTATTTACCCTCTATTCCTCTGTTTACCTCTACTTATCTCCAAAACAATTGTTCAACATGTTTTTAGTTTTGTTTTGCTATAGAGCATGTGTACTTGCCAGGGAGAAAGAGAGAGAGAGAAAAAGAAATCACCCCCTAAGGAGAATGGCCACACTACAATCCCTTTTCCATTCTCCTCTCTGAATTTTGAGCATACACACACACACACACACACACACACACACATACACACACACACACACACACACACACACACACACACACACATATACACACACACCTGACTTGATTTTCAACCCAGTTGGTCTGGGGATGAACTATATACATTTGGACATGTGGGCTCCAGCCACCTTGACATCCAAGCACCGTGTTTTTATAAAGCTTAAAAGTAGACTAGCCAGTTAAGTCATGGTTGAAGTGGCTTGATTTCACATGATGGATTGTGCAGTTTGAGTCCCAGACCTGGTGGCTTGAAAACCACGTGGGACATGTGTGCATGTTTCCCAAAATCCTGAGAAGGGAATGGAGATGAGATTGCAGTGTGACCTCCTTGCTAGAGGTTGCATTCTCACTTTCCCTCCTTGACTCTCTCTCTGTTTCTGTCCAGGAATAAGCATATGTACCCTATAGCAAAATGTTAAAAAGAAGAAAGACAAAGGAAAAGGATCAAAAATACTGTTTTGGGACAGCTTTATTTTGTTGGAGAAAACATGGCCTTTTTCAGAGTCACATTTGTAAATCAGAAAGATAGGGTTTGAATTATTCTGTTTTTATCCCTGCGTTAGGTTGAGAAAAAGGGGTTACTTCCCGAAATTGTAATCTCAGACACACACGCACATACACACCTAATTCTCCTTACTATATTGTAATCTTTTTACATTCTGGAATGACCAAACTTATCTGTGCATATTGTTCTCACTCACTCCCCCCAACTCCCTGCCTACACTCACAGGGCACCATTTATTTGCCAAGTACTTATTGAATATGTAGCAAAAAGGGCAAAAAGAATCTCCATGCTAGTAGACTGTATATTTCAGCAGGCACCATCAACAAATGACTAAACTGATACATATGAAAATACTGAGTAGTAACAGTGTTTAGATGAAAAGAAATTATAGAAGTATAGAATGAGTAGGGAGTATCTACAGATAGCAAGCTTATAGAAAGACTCTTTGGGAAGTGACATCTCTGAATCCTGAATGATAAGAAGGAGGTAACATTTAAAGATTTGGAGAAAAAGCAATTCCGGCAGAGGGAACAGTTTGACATATTTATGGAAGAGCAAGAAGGTCAGAGAGAAAGAATGGTATACACCTAGATTGGAAAGGTAAGAAGGTACTAGGTCATATAAGGATTTCACGTAAAGGATTTTCATTTTCCTCCTTAGTGGGATGGGAATCCATTGGTTTTTATACTTAAGAATGTCACCTGATTTATAGTTTGAGCAGAGGAGAAGGAACCAGCGAAGGAACATAAAACATAGCATATAGTCGGCAAGAGGATAATCAGGAAAGGATGGTACATGAAGCTCAAGAGGAGACTGCTAAGAATTAAGGAGCAATTAACTAGGTTATTAATCAAAACACTGAGTAAGGTATTATCAACAAATGGCTGTTAGGTTTGGGAACCTAAAGGATGTTTTGATGGAATAGTGAGCAAAGTGAATAGTAGGGTAAGCGAAGAGTGTAACTGTAGAAAATGTGGAATATTTTTTAGTGAAGAAGAATAGCTAATGGGGCAGTAGTGGGAAAGGGTTGGTTGAGTCAAGAGACTTAGTTTTTTCATTTGGAAATGGAGAATTTTAGTAGAGAAGAAGAGATGGAGGATGCCAGAGGTGTAGGTAATTTTAAGATAAAAGTTCTTAAAAGGTGATAGGCAGTGGGAGAAGGAACAGAAAAACCTACTATTCCTTTCTTAACATAAGGCCTTTCTATAAACTTTCCAATTCAATTGACAATAGAAATATGCAAATTTTATTGAGCCCCATAGCAGCAAATTTGCTTGGATTGGTGCTAGTTTAATAAAATGTTAAATTACTCAGGGCTGGCAGGTGGCATGGTGATTGAGGTGTTGTACTCCAATATGAATGACTGTGGTTTCAGTCCTGGACCTGGTACCTTGCTTTCTCACTTTCTCTCTCATGCATTCTCTGTCTCTATCTCTCTCTGGTCAAATTTCAAATAATAATAGTAATAATAAAATTAAATAATCATTTTTAAAATGTTAATTACTCAAGACATAGTAAAGGAAGGAAGATTTCCAATATGCAGATCAGAGTATTACTTTAACATCCTTTTTAAATAGTGTTTCTCTTTCAGGTGCTTCAAGAAGATCTAGAACAAGAACAAGTCAGAGTCAATTCTCTCACTCACATGGTGGTGGTCGTTGACGAATCTAGTGGCGATTATGCAACTGCTGCTTTGGAAGAACAACTTAAGGTCAGATTATTTTCTCTAATAAACTCCAGATGTCCTTGAAAACACTTCATTGCAATTTGAAAAATAGAATGATTAGAATGTAATTTATATTTTATAAACATGTAGAGTGCAATGTATTTATTAAAACTAATTCAAATTATTTCCCATCTGTGCACATTTCTCCTTCATTAACTGTATACTATGTGCTCACACTGGTTTCCTGGCATTTGGGGAAATACACAAATGCAGATATGTTTATTTTCATTATAGTTGAATCACATGTATTAGAGGAATACTATTTATGCCCTCTTCAAACTCAGCTTCTAAGAGAGGCCAAAGATAAAAACAACAAAAAGAATCCCATTAAAGTAAATAACAAGAAACTGAAACCTTCAGTCTATTTATTCCTGGAAGCCTCCAGTTGTAGTCTTGATAAGAGAATGGCAGGATATTGAAGTCATGGAAGTTTTGTTGGAGTAGATATATAGCCTTTCAAACTCTCTTCCAGCCTGAGTTTTAGTAATTGCTTTTTGGAAACAGTACTAGTATATATTAACAAAGGGTAATGTGCCTATTTTATTACTTCTATCTTTTCTTTCTAATGATAAAAATGGAATTTTCATTAAAAAAAAAAAAACTTAGCAAGGCCTGCACAGATATAGCAAAACATCAACATTAAGGGGAAATACTAGAATCTTATATTCTGAATGATTATAATCATTCATTTATATTTTTTATAATATATTAATTTGAGGATTTCACTGTGCCCACCAAGTGACTGCCTTTTCATTGTGACATTTAGGGCCCAAAAGTCTGGTACCTTTAAGGATCCAATTAATGTGGATTTAAATAGTTTTATCAGCCAAAGTAATTCTAAACATGGTTTCGTCTACCAGACCTAAAACATAGTCTTTTAAAGCCTTATCTCTATTATCTTTTCTGTGTGTGTGAAATGTGTTTTATATTCCAGTGAAATGTCATTTCCTCAGGTTACTGCTTTAGACTGCCAGTCTCTAATAATGTTTTCTCACTCTTCATCAAAGTGAAAACTCTCGGGAACCAGCAGTTAGCGTAATGGCTATGTCGCTGGACTCCCACGTAGTCGACCGCGGTTCGCGTCCCGGACCCGGTGGCTTAAAACTCACGCCGGGCGCGTGTGCGTGCGTGCCCAAGATCCCGAGAGGAGAATGGAGGAGAAGGGATTGCGGCGTGACCATCCCCCCTGGGGGGTGATTTCTCGCTTTCTGTCTCTATGTCTCTCTCTGTCTGTCTGGCGAACGTATGCGCCCTATAGTGAAAAAACCTCTCAAAAAAAAAAAAAGTGAAAACTCTTGAATGAATAGGTTGGACACTTACAACCTTGCATTTAAGATATACTGGAGGCTCATGTTAATTGCTTACATTTCAATAAAATTGCAGGGATTGAACAAAAGCTTATGACACCAGACTTTATAATGTATTGTTGAATATAAGACCATTTATATTGTACACATATACACTTATTCATGACCAACTAGACTACTGGTTTTAAGGAAATCCAGTCTTAATATAAGAGTAACTAATACAGGTGGGTAAAAATCTAATACTCAGTATTTCTCAGAAATTTTCAGAAAATATAAAGGAAGGCAAGGGATCAGGAATCCTAGAAGGTTAGGTAACTGGTTAAAAATAAACAAAGAATAACTAACAAAAAAAATCATAAGGGAGAAATTCTTCTAAGTCATATAGTATTCCATTGAAAATAACTGAGAAGTACACTCTTTGGTATCAGCTCACCGAATACAGCTAGCTTTATCATACAGTTATGCCACAGTGATGCTTGTGGAATTAAGGCATTTTGCTGTTGTTTAGTTTTTGCTATAGAGCATATGTATTTGTGTGTGTGTGAGGGAGAGAGAGAGAGAGAGAGAAAGTGAGAAATCATCCTTTAGGGGAATGGCCACACCACAATTCCTTCTCCCCCATTTTCTTCTCAGGTTTTTGAGCATGCACACACATGTGCCCAGTGTAATTTTCAAGCTGCCATATCCAAGGCTTGAACTACAGCTGGTCATGTGAGAGTCCAGCACCTTAACCACTCCACCACCTAGTGGCCTGGGAACTAAGGCATCTTGAAAAACAATCCTAAGAACTCATAGAGGGTAACTAGGTTAGATCTTAGGTAGGAAAAATTGAGAGTGATAGGCCTAGGATTCAGTATGCTCATTATCTTGCTTGCTTTCATTTTTCACCTTAAATTCAACATTTATTTGTTTGGTTATATAAAATCTACTAAGGTAATTACATGGATTGGAAATAGTTCATTCACATAAATTTAATCTGTGTTTGTCAATGCTTACCTCTCCTTTTAATGAGTGTTGGTACCTGCTTTCTCTTTTCTCTTCAACTGTTTTCCCTTTTGATACCCTCATTTTGTCTTTACATTGCTCTTTTTTTTTTTTTTTTTTTTTTTTTTTTTTTTTTTTTTTGGGGAGTGTTTTTTTTTTTGGGGGGCGTGTTC